GCGGCACTTACAACGCGGTGGGCGGGCGTAGGAGGAGCATTTAAAAACCGCCGATTTCACTATAGATATACACATCTCTTGCTTATTTGTTATTCTTTTTCTGCTTCGAAAAACACTTATAGCAAGATAGAGAGAGAAAAAAAACAACAACAACAACAACCTTAACAACATTTTCTGGGCCAACGCGCAGAAAGGCAACAACAAAGCAAAGCGAACAGAATAATTTTTAGGCCTTAAACTGTTTGCGCCGCGCCTCCTTCAAAAAGTTCATTTGGGTTCATTTGGATGCCTGAGAGAAAGAGACAGAGAAAGCGAGAGAGAGAAGAGAAATTATGCTATTAAAATGCATATTCAATTAGCTGAAACTGGACTGAAAAGCGAACGTGTGAAATAGCAGAACGTGTGCCACCTTTTGGCCAGCTGGCGAGCACACACACACACACACACACACACACATACATACAGACACACAATGGCACTGCAGCCGATACCGAAAAACCGTTGAGAAGTAACCGCAAACACCTGCTAAAAAATTCCTTTAATTAGCGCCGAACAATGGCGCCGCCCACGTCGCTGGCTGACCAAACAATGAGCGTTAAATTCTATTCAATGGCAGAACTGAAAGCACAGCAAATAATTGAAGTACTTGACGTAATGATGAGGCAGTGGCAGGGGCAACGGCAGCGGCAGAGCGACCTGTGCATAGAAACGGGACAACCAAACGGACGGAAAGATGCTGAATAAATGGCGGACAAAAACATTAATGAGCTGCTTTGCTCTGCCTCGTCGATGGACGAGAAACGTGAGCCAGAGATATGTCATCATTTGACGACAACGACAACGACAACGACGACTAGGTCGATGATGACGTTGCTGATGATGATTAGAGTTCACGTTTTCACGTGGGTCTCTACTTTAGACTTTTGCCATTGTGGCTGCCTTTGTTTAGCCCGTTGATTGAGCTCAATTGGCAGTTTGTGCCGTTGACAGGTATTGAAAATGATTATGTTTATTGTTATATGTTGCGAAAAAATAGGATTGACTGGCAGAGAAATTTATTATTGAGAGAAAGAATAAACAGGTTGAAAAAATTACAATTTAAAAAATTATGAAGCAAAAGAAGAAGGAAAAAATAATAACTATATAAAAACAAAAGTTTAAAGTAAATAAAAATATTGTAAAAAGATATAAAGAAGAAACTAGTTGTTAGTAAACAAATGAATATGATAATCAAAAATTAATAAATAAAATAAATATATGTTGAATGAAAAATAAAAATTAATAGAAGAATGTTTTTAATGGAAAATAAATATAAAAATGAACTTATACAAAAAATACTAAATTTTTAAATAAATAAAATAAATAAGAATGCATATATTTCTTTTAAGTAAAATATAAATACTAAAATAAGTTAAAAATTAACTTAAATTAAGGAAATGAAATAGTTATTTATAGTATTAGATAATTAAATAATAGTAAATTAATAGGGAAAGAAAGACAAAACTCTTTTTTCTATATTTAATTAAAGAAAAATACAAACATACACAAAAAATAAAAAATAAATAAAAAGTAGAAAAAAAAAGTAAATTGTGAGTAAACTAAATCGTTGACATTTTCTAAGACATTCTCTGACTTTATAAAAGTCAAGTAAACCCTTTTCAAGTCAAAGCTGACTCGTCGCTAATCCGCTGATAAAAACCAACGTCAATGTGTCTCCGTGGCGGATCTATTCATTTCCCCGTACGGCCACTTATCTATGTATGAAGCCGTAAACCCTTTTAATTTTCCGCACTGAATCACAGGCCAACATGCCCAACTGGCGTAATAAAATTAAGCAGAGCTCGAGCCGCACCGGAACCCCAGTAACTATTTTTGTAAAAGTGACGAAAATACAAGTCAACTGACGAGCCCCAAAGCACAACAACAACAACAGCAGCAACTACTACTGAAAGAAGGCCCAATCGTAGGCCGCAATCTAGACAGGTGTTTGGGTCAGCAGTTCAACGTACGCCCAAGAGCAACTATGACTAAAATAAAGGACTACAACGTTGTGTGTGTGCGTACGTGTGTGAGTTTGTGTGTGTGTGTGTGTTTTGCCACAATAATTTATTTTTAAATGCAAGCGAGCTTCACAGTTGCTGCTCGGCTCGGGGCTGCCAAAGTCATGGGCTAAATGTGGCACAGCTAAAGCATATGAAACAGAGCAAAACAGAGACAATGAAAAGAGCAGCAGCAGCAGCAGCAGCAACAACAAAAGTGCAAAAAGTAACAACGGTAAATGTTTCAACTTCCAATCAGCACAAAGAGAGGCAAAAGCCAGGCAGCTCGCGAGAGTGCGCACAAGTAACAGTAAAAGCTCAGCTGAAAGAGCGTACGTCAGGCAGAAGGAGCTAATGCAAGAGCGAGTGGGAGAGAGAGAGCGAGCGAGCGAGGGAGTGAGGCACACTGGCAGAGCACGTGCTGTGCGTAAAACTGTTGTGATACGAATGGAAGAAGCGGAAAATAAAGCGTACGGCCCCACAAAACAAAGCTTAGATAGAGCGGAATGTCGGCTGAACAAAAAAAAAAAAATCAAAAGCAGCAAATGAAAGAAGAAGCAGATGAAAAAAGAACTATGCTATAAAATGTGATATGGAATAGCAACATATGACAGCTGTCATGTTTAAGTCCGCAGCAGCCAGAGCCAGCGCCAAAGCCAGAGCCAGAGCCAGCACAATGCAAGTTGGGTTAGGTTGTGGAATTGTAAGATTAAAAAAAAGAGAGAGGGAGCGCAAATAAAAAGAAAAAGCAGAGAGCAGAGAAATGAGAATTGAAAGGAGGAAGTGCCTGGATGATGTGCCGGAAGAAGTGATGCGGGATTAACAGATACAAAGGATTATAAAGTTGTCAATGAATAACTGAATGAAGACAGATAGATAAGCTGACGGGGAAGTGTTTTATGCCAGAGCTCTATGAACTGCTGCAAGGCAATTGATGGCATGAAAGAGGCGACTTAAGAACTGGTAATTAAAATGGCAATGTGAGAGGCGAGAGAATAGTTATACAAGTGGAAATATATGCGTGAGTATGTATATAAATAGATGTATATATTCTCTTATATATACATACATATGTATATTAGATTTACTCGAAGCCGGTTAGCATAGAGCCTTATATATAATTGAACTTGGCTTTGATTTCAAAAGGAATAACCCCAAAGGCAATCGATTCACTTTGCGCCGAGTGTATCACAAATTACTTTGTTTATTTCATTTCTTTCCGCTGTCTGCCTCGCGACAGGCCATCAGCAGCCGTTGCCAGGTTCGATTGGATCCCATTGCTTAGTGAAGCAGGGGCAGCAGCTGGCGGCTGCGAGGCGCTGAGAATTTGTTGCATTTGAAACCCAAATCGAACGGGTTAAATGACGCGTAAAATGCCAGCAGCAGCAGCAGCAGCAACAGCAGCAGCAGGAGTAGGAGCAGGAGTGGGCTGCTGTAGAAAGTTATACTGAGCTGGCTGAGAGCGATATTGAATACGTTGGCCAACAGCATAAACCTGAGTCGATGTCTCAGCTGCCACTGGCAGCGTCGCGCGCAGCGGGGAGACCACAAAATGCATGTCAACCACAGCAGCAGAGATAGCAGCAGCAGCAGCAGCGGCAGCAGCAGCAGCAGCGACGACACAAATTAATATTTTATAACTTAATTAAAAACACAAAATAAAAGCCTCATATGAATATGTGATAATAAATAAAAAGGAGACAGAAAAAAAGGTTAAGCGGCAATGCGTGGCGCGTGTGCGTTGCCTGAGGTCAGCGCGAACTTGCAAGTTGAGTCGCCGTGGCTGTGGCTGTGGCTGTGGCTGCGGCCATCTGCATTATTCATACGCCGTGTGGCACGCAACGCGCTTCTAACGTGCAGTCGGGGCGCACAGTCAATTTAATTTTCATTTGCAGCTCATGCATAAAAAATAAATTGCAGGCGCAGCAGCGTCTGTTGCGCCAATTGATGAGCAAGGACGAAGCCAGGTGTGCGTGTGTGCGTGTGTGTGTGCGTGTGTGTGTTTGCATAATATTTACAAAAATGATTTCCTCGCTGCGTTCGCCCCGTTGCCACAATGCCAGGCCATTAAGCACGCCACACCGCTGCGGTCATGTCGACTCGAGTGCAGCGGAAACGGAATACGAGCATTTTGTGGATAAGGTCAGCAGCAACAGCAGCAGCAGCAGCGGCAGCGGCAACAGCAATAACTGTTACAGTAACGGTAACTGCTCAGCGGTGTCAGCTTAAATGCGACGCTTGACAAGCTTGTTAAACAAGCTGGCAAGCCATTTCATACGGAATGGAAAGAGCTCTGCCAGCTGGAGCTCGTATTAGTCTAGCGGAAGCAAACCCCCTGCAATTAATCAGTCTAAGGGATCAACAATTAACCAAGTTTATGACCCAGTTTCAAAAACCTAAAGCAACATTGTCATTGCTGGCGCACTGACTTCCTTCCGCCTCACTGACCCAAGCATCAAATAGTTGACTCTGCTCCATATGGCTGCCATGTGAAGCACTAAAATCCAAACAATGAAGACAACCAAAGCCACAGCAGCAGGAGTAATAGCAGCAGCAGCAGCAGGAGGAGGAGGAGGAGTAGCAGCAACGTTGCATACGCAATGAAAACATACTTGTTGTTGTTGTTTTGGGTGATGTATAAAGCAAACAAGACAGCGATTCGCTGCGGTCAGATGCGAACTGCTCGGCACCATAAACAAACCAAAATCGTAAGCAAATTTATCTGTTGCAGGCAATTGAATACATCTCAGATTGACAATCGCTTTGCCTGATTGATGATGACAGCCAGCAAGAAATGGAGCCTTCGAGCTGAGCAAACGTTTATCTTCATTGATTGGGCTCTGTTAGCTATGCCACGCTTAATATATACATTTTAAATTTATACTCACTTCATAAAACATAAAATTAACTTCAAATGAAATTAAGTAATTTTTGCAAAGAGATTTATCACTTTCATTTTCCATTGATTTTATTTTCATTTTATTGCCGAGCATTCATACCAAACGTAAAATTACAAAACGTGTTCGATCTTGCTCCCGATTGAAGCGGCTTTCACAAGAATGAATGGAGGACAGTCTTCATATACTAGCATAATATTTATAGTTCCGCCACATCAACACCTCACATTGATTTCTTTTTTTACATATTCCTTCTTCAGCTCTCACTCTTTGCATGATTTTTCCTTACGCTTCTTCGAATCGGAGCCCGTAACAACTTCATTTATCGACTTGGCCACATAATCTATATTCCTCGAGTTCAATCCGCAAACATTGATGCGACTGGAGCTGAGTAAATATATATGTTTATCCACGCGAAGTCTTTCGCATTGTTTCGCTGTGGAAACGGAAGAGTTTTTAGAGAGATTTTACTGCGGGCGTTACTTTTCTCTACTCACGAGTTAATCCTAGATATGCAAACATTCCATGGCCCTGTGTTATGTGATCCCAAGTGCCTGGTGTTTCCAACTCTACAAGTTTTTGCACCAAGTCCTTTCGCATTTTCTTCACACGATTTGTCATCATGATTAGAGTTTTCAGCCTAGATACGGAATAATGTTATAGTAATTCGATATTCTTTTCCAGTTTCATTTACCATTTTTTGCGATTGCTTTTGTTGCTGAGCACCTTGGCGATAATACGACTGCCGAAAGCGGGCGGATTTGAGTAGTTGACTCGAATCAGCTTGGTGAACTCCGAGGCGACAGCAGGCGCATATGATTTATTGTTCAACACGGCAATTAAATTGCCAACGCGCTCATCTGTTTACAGAAAAATGACACAGTTAATAAACTAAGCAAAGCGAGAGCCAACTCTTACCGTAGAGTCCCATGTTCTTGGAGAAGGATTGCGCGATCAGTGTTTCGTGGCCTTGTTTGATAAAGTATCTGATTCCCCAGGCATCGAGATCCGGATTGCCGCTAGAAAACCCTATGTATGCCGCATCAAAGAAGGGAAACAGATGACGCATCTTCACAACCTCCGAGATCTGTTGCCATTGCTTCATTGTGGGATCCAGGCCGGTGGGATTATGGCCCGAGGCTTGGAGCAGAACCACCGATCCCTCTGGCGCATTGCACAGTCCTGCCAAGAGCCTGGCAATGTCTAGTTTCTTCTTTTTCTGACTCCAGTAGGGATATTTTTTGAACTGCTTGAAGCCAGCCTGCCTGAGAATGTTGATGTGATTGCCGTACGTGGGATCTGACAGGAGACAGATGCGTTTCTTCAGGCATTGACACAAGAATTCCGAACCGATGCGCAGCGCGCCGGTGCCCGCAACAGTTTGAGCTGAAACAGTCTGAATGGAGAATGGAGAATATCATCAAATAAGTAAGCGTCTCGACTCACGCGTTTCTCTTTGATTGCCTTGCTGTCCTTGCCCAGCACCAGCTCGGTGGCCACCTTCGTATACTCGGCGTTGCCCAGTATGGGCAGATATTCATGATTCAGCTTCATGCTGTTGGCCACTTCTACCTGGCACTTTCTAACGATTGGCAACACGAATGGATGGTTCTCCTCGGTTCGATAGGCTGGCAGAGCAGAGACTGAGTTGCAGCAGCTGCAGCAATGGCCTCGGGAGTCAACTTACCCCCAATGCCCAAATTGACTTTGTTCTCGTGCGTGTCGAGTAGATAGAGATTTCGCAAGTGGAAAACCTCAACGGGCGGGATGAGCTTGGCGTCTGCAAAGGCCGACTTGTCCCTCGAGTCACCATGATCGCGATTTACAATTTTTAAAATACTGTGAGGAAACCCTTAAGAACTCAAATGATTTTCATTGCAGCTGAGCTGGGCTCTTACTCGGTTCTAGACGCTAGACAATTGCTTGCCAACTTTAGCATGATCAAGTATACCGAAACGTTAATTTAGATTTAAAAGGAGAAACAAATTTAAATGGGAAATTTAATTTACACAATAAAGAAAAAAACATTTCAACTGACATTTTAGCAAAAGATTATTTCCGAATATATTTACAACATAATTTAATAAAACAAATATTTCATATTTTAATTGTATGCAAATGACAAAATTACATTTTTAATGATTCTCATGTTTTAACCTAATAAAGATAACTTCAAATATTTTTCACATATTTTTAAAAGCTTTTAATAAAAACTTAAAACTAAAAGATTAACAAATAAAATAAATATTTAGTCAATAAAGAGAAATCTTTCATACTGTTACTTTTAGGTACATATTCAAAAATGTATTAAAAAAGTCAATTCAAAGCTTCAGTGTCTACACATATTCAATAATTTATTAAAACATCGCAAATTTCATTATATTTGCAGTTTGATTAAAGTAAAAATAAATAAATTCCTCAGGCTTTGCGTTCAATCACAGCCAACACGAAGCAGACAGTCGCAAATAAATCAATACAGAAAAATGTTTTATGCCAATAATACATCATATTTACAGGACCCACATGCGTGTGAGTGTGTGTGTGTGGCCCCGACTCGGCGCATATTTCAATATTTGCCGACAAGCATTTTTTGGTAATGTTTCAATTAACTTGAGCAAAAATATTTATGAACGGGAAGCACATGAAATTGTTTTGCAGGCATACAAAAAAAAAAAAAGCGTTAGGCAAACAGCGAGCATACAGCATTCAGGCCCACACACAAACACACACTGCCTCACTCACATACTCTTCGCAGCACAGCATAATTTGAGTCTATTTGGCTTGTAGCATACTTTTCTGCGCTACAGCAAAGACAACAACCACGCCTGAAAGCAATCAAGTGTCGCTGGAAACAAAACAAAGCGCGGCCAAAGAGCAAGCGGGACAGCCATAGTGTCGAGTCGGTGTGGTGAGAGGCGAGATTTTTGGACAGGGGAAATGGGAGTGTATGCGTAGCACACACGGCAAACCGGTAAATATTTATAATTGGGAGAGATTTCGAAATCGCTCACAACGGCAATTCAACAATGAATAAGAAAATATTGATTATTATATATACAAATATATATTATAAAAAAAAATACAAATTTATTGTGACACAACAATAGCTAGGCTGAAAAAATCATATATGTATAATAAAAGATATGAAATAAATTTAGCAAATAAAAAATAAATATACGTATATATACAAAATAAATATGAACTTCCTAAATAAAAAAAAAAAAATATGTAAGTAAATAAATAAATAAATAAAAGAAAAAAATAAATAAAATAAAATAAAATCAAAAATTAATGTTAAGCCACTATTTCGAATAAATAAAAAAAATATATATATAATATGAAAATTAATCATAATTTTGAACGAAGTAAAATATATAAATAAAACCAAGACGAAGGCGTAAATAATAGTTATATATTGATTCCATATAAAATAAAGTATATTAAAAAAAAAAATAGAAAATAAATAAAAATAGTATGAACAAATATATATAATGATATGTATATAAATTAAAAATACGTATATACGTATATTGATATATTAGCAAAATTGAAAATGAAAACTGAAAACTTCAAAAGTTAAAAAAAATTACAATTGTCAAGAAAGAACTGTCCAGGGGTAGTAAAAATATATTTATAAATATTTATCATAGACTCTTGCGCCACCCAATTCTATTATAAGCCCAAATCAATTTGTTGAAATAATTCAGAAACTGTTGTATGGAACACAAGTGCACATATGTATATGTATGTATGTACATATATACGCATCAGATGCTCCTGCTGCGTCTGCGGCTGTGGCTGCTGCTGCTGCTGCTGCTGCTTCGTCCGTCCGACATCATCAACATCGACAGCATCCACAGCGACCAAAAATCAATGGACTGGAAAATATTTATGATGCCCACATATGGGCGACTAGGAGGGGACGGAGAGGACGGAGCGACGGAGCGGAAGGCGGCAGACAAGCAACTCCTGGGAGCCGCCTGGTGTGAAGTTGGCCAAAATGGCAAAAGTTGACATTTGGGTATGCAAAGTGCCGACTCGGAGAGGGTTTGCCTGACAATTAACAGGCATAAAAATAAGTTGCAACTGCCGTCGATGAATAAATTTTGCTGCAATGCATATACATATATATGCATATATATATATATGTATATTCTTTATTCTCTTTTTTAGTTTCGGGAAGGGGCTCTTCGCTCCATTTGAGGCGATGCCGCAAAAGCATTTGCCGCTTCAGTGGCCACCCAAAGGCATTTCAAATATAAATCGCAGCTAAAGAGCTGCCATTTTGTGTTTGGGTATTTGGTTTCAGTTTTCACTATGTGTTTTTTTTTTCTTCTTTGCTGACTCCCTCTCTCCTTCTCTCCATCACCCACTCCACTCGTTCGCTGTCTGCCTCCTTTTACTTTGCTCGTACTCCAGCTTCAGCTCGACAATTTTCTTCTTTTGATGTTGCCACTCGATGAATGTGTTGCCTTTTGTTCGAATTTATTGTCTATGGCTATAGCATCAGCAGGATGTGGGCGTGGCAGGTTCAACACACACACCCACACACACACCCACACACATAGCTCCTTGCAAAGTTTATCGATCTAGAAACCATTTGTGTGTGTTGTTTGCCTGGGCTGCATTTGTCTGCGTCTGCTCTCCCAAACAAAGAGTCCTGCTGTCTGTGGCCCGCCACTGATTTTCCTTATGCACCGCCCGCCTCATATATACGATTTTCAATAGTGCAGCAGCCCGGCTGAGTAATTATTTATGTTTGAGCAGACACAAAAATGCTGAAATGCCGCACAGAAATCTGCCAAATTTCATATCTGCTGTTTGCAATAAACAATCATTACGTGCTAAGCTCTTGCGAATATGATTTTAATTAAAGATACAGACACCTACACACATTCAATTGACGTCTAACTGATTCACTCACTCTCGAACAGCCAGCCCAGGTTGAGTAGCAACAATTGACACAGGACTCTCTATATATTTAATTGAATGAAATTCATAATTAAAGCGTGGCCGGCCGAGCAGGTGATGTGTGTGTCGCCAACGCAACAGTCAAAGCGTGTGATTAATAATTACTATTCCGTTATTATTTGCATGTACACACATACATATATATGTATTTACTTCAGTCAATATTCTGATGTGAATAATTTACTTATACATCACAGTATATATTTAGAAATTAATATATATTATCGAAAGATATTTATATTATTATATATATATATATATTCACATATTTCCATATATATTTAGTTCAGTATGTATGCAGTAATTAATACCTTTTTTGGTATTATATAAACAAATAGTATTTACTTCAGTATATATATATATATGAATTAATAGCCAATACCCAAAATTATATTTACATATTTATTTATTTGTATGTATGTATATAAACAGTTCAGTTCTGCTTTTGACATATTCCCCATACTCGAAGGCCCATCAAAATTAATCGTAATTAATTAAACAATATTTTATTTATGTTTATTAAATAATCGACTTAAAAGTTGTCTTTAAATTTTGATGAAAATCTATTTTAGTTTAGATATTTTAATGGCCTGTCTATCATTGTGATACATATATATATATGTAGCTACCGATACGTATTTATATACATATAAAATCATAGATTCAGCGAGTTATCAATTTACATGCAGCTCTCTATTCGCTTAAACATAAGTGTAGTCTAAAATTCAGGTAGGAATACAGTTAAAAATGCATTTTTTTTTTTTTTTTTGGTAAAAATATGTATTATTTTATTTAAACAGGCTTTCTACTACCTAGTTGGCAGCTTAACGAGTTGGACATAAAAATGCATTTTAAGGTAGGAAATGCTTTTAAATCAAATCGAGGTAAATAGAGCAATATTATTATAAATTAAATTAATTAAATTCGCGCTCAAGCCTTTCTATTAGTTCAGCTACATTTATATGTGCAAAAAATAAATAAATAAAAACAAAAAAATAAAAAAAATAAATAAATAAATAAAAATAAAAATGTTCATATATAATCAAAAGGAAATTCCGCACTAGACGTCTGCCGTGTGTTTTGTAAGCGCTTAGACTAAACCTTCACATAGCAGACGGCTTACAGCTCACAGCTCACAGTTTACAGCTCACAGTTTACAGGCCACATACCGCAGAGCTGAATCCAGCAGCTTTGAGTGTACTTTGACGCCTCATCTTGAGGCGCAAAATCAATAGCTAAAGCAAAAGCAAGAGCAAAGAGGAAAAGGAAAAGGAAAAGCAAAAGCAAAAGCTGAAGCTGAAGCCGATTCTGTAGCTAAGGCGAACCATCTAGATGAACCCGGGGCGAGCAGCCGACACAGTTCGATTATTTGGTATAACAAATTTGTTCAATCGCCTGTCAGACTCTTGAGATGAGCGAACCAATCTCCGACGAGACGCTGTTAATGCGCTGTCATTGAATTTTTAATTTAATTTCGCTGCGGGCAAACGCCACCCGGAATGCACAACAGCCGAACGCAAAGCAATTTCTTTTATTAAACATAAGGCGCCCTGATTTCGGCATACAAATCGTCTAATCAAAATCAAATTTCATTTGAATAGTGTTTGATGTCATCGACGTAAGCGCTAAGAACGTGACATCTTACCTCAGATTGCGGCCAGGTGATAATGAGGCCAGCCCATCAGGCCAACAGCCCAGCAGTCGAGCCCAGCCCAACCACAGCGAGCCCAAATGCCAGACGAGCGATTTAAAAGCTGTCGCAACCGCAGCGCCAAAAATTATGCTATTAAAATGTATTTTTTCAATTAGCCAACACGCTTTACCCGGCCCCCTCCTCACCCACACCCACTCTACCTCTTCAGCTCACTCCTTTTCATTTCTCTTTTATCATGCTGCTTGGCTTGGCTTTCGCAACCCTCTTTCATTGTTGTGCGCAGCCCTTTTTCGGCTCTTGTCTGTCAAAATGTTGTCGGCATTATTAAAAGGCACACGCTGCGTATACGCAATGTAA